ATTTTTTCTAATATACTAGGTGTCATAAGAATTGTTTTCTTTTTATAAAAATACATTTATTTATATATTTATAGCATAGCCCCTTATTATATCACTTAAGAAATGGTAATACTATAGACTAGTTATATGATATATTAGCTAGTCATCAAAAAATTTTTCTTTAGTATCTTTTTTAGTATATTGTCATAGGATATTACTATCTTGTCATGGAATGATAAGATATTCCTATAAGGAAATAAGAGAGTTCTAGTTGTAAAATGCCGCCACTCGGACTCGAACCGAGATGCGTGAGCATTGGTTCCTAAGACCAACGTGTCTACCAATTTCACCATGGCGGCTTTTGATAAGATTATACCATCTTACTCTAAATTATGTCAATACTGTAGAAATTCTTTTTTGAAATACATTTTTTGTATTTTGAAATTGATTACCTTTCAATCATTATTTTCCCCAAGCAAATGAGGCCATTTATTTTTTTTTCTATTTTTTAGGTTTTCTTTATTAGGTCTTATCTTGAAACTTTTTTCAGTTATTTTTTTACTAATATCTGCTAAAACTTCTTAATTCTTGGTGTGATTTTCTTCAGTGGTAAATTGTTTATTGTGCAATTTATTCATCAATACATTTCCTCTTCTCTTGTGCTAATTTCTATTCGCATCTAAAAATCAATCCTATAGTAATGAAACTTTATCTTTTATTCGACTCAAAGAATTGTCCTTTCATGAACATAATAAATTCCTTATTTTACATACTTTAGACTAGTTGGGTATTTTGATTATAGAAAAGTTTATGTTTTTTCGCGTGTTGTTAATTTATATTCATCTTATTCATACAAATTCCGATTCACTCTAAGGGTAACATTCTCATGCCTTAAAAAGCTTTTATTATATGCATCCGCTTTTTCCTAGTCTATTACTTCGTAATATTGGTTCAAATATTAGTATATTATCTGTGAAAAGTTTTATCTGCATTAGGACAAGCCCTAATTAATGAATTCCCCCACAAGATATCTTTTTATATTTTAATATCCTTAGCCATATTTTTCGTTCGTTAGTAAGAATGTCATATCGAGTTGTACTCAAACATTTCACTATTCGCAACATCGATTATATTACTGAGGTTATTACTCCAATGGAAAGGAAACCTCGCAAATTCAAGAACTTATTAGAGATAATCCCTTGAGAAAAAAATTTCACCTTAAATATATACGCAGACTTAGAAAATTGAACTGCTTAACAGACAAATTCAGGTAACAACTTAATTTACCTGCTCAAATTCTTTATATTATTTATCTAATTACAGGGGGAATCAGATAAGAAAATATTGCATCCATGTTATAAGATGAAATTCTAATATAGTATTTTCTTTCTCCTCAATTTACCATCTTTTAGCTCAATTCGTGACAAATAACTCAAATTTCTCTTAAATTTCTCTTATAAACCCTAAGGTTAGTGGTAGTTGAAAGCTTTAGAAATTTAAGTTAGGAAGAGGGATTAATATTTATTATCTTATATTCTCTATGCTCTAAAATAATTTCATTATAAGAAGGGAAGGATTATATATTTAATATATCTTACTATCTATACTCATATATAATAAAGAATATAATAAGAAGAGACTTGCATATTAGAAATCCTTTCTCAATTCGGATTGGATTTTATAAAAGACAAGTTTTATTCTTTGTAACCCAACAATAAAAATAATACCAATTAATACTAATTAATAGAAAACGGCGATTTTGCTACATAGCTACATTCTATTTATTTTTGTTTATGTATATTAAAGTAGTAAGCTTGGTATATCCGTCGATTAAGTAAAATACAATTCAAGTATACGCTACTATTCACCTCCTTCATAACAAATTAAATCTTTTAAGTTAACTAAAGAAAATTTCCCATAGGAACTCTATCTATATATTATCATTAAGAAAAGCCTCTATCGTATTAGAAAATCGTCCATGGGAAGATTTTCCTAATTTACTAATTAATTTCCCTGTAATCTAAGAAACCTTGGAACTATTATTTGCAAGTGCCGCTTGCCATTTCGATGGTCAGGATAGAAAGTTTGTACTTGGTATTGAGAATCGATACAACCTAACGTCTGAGGGATTTTCTGACGTAAAATATCCTTGATATATAATAAATCATAAAATATATATTCTTTCCATATTATGGTATACTCCATCATGTGTTATCGGTGCTGTTACTTGGGTGTTCCAAGAATAATTATTACTTTTATATTTGAGTTTTATAGGACTTCTAGTTCTTTGTTCATTTGACAAGAATTTTACTGACTGTGGAGTCCACAACATTTTCCATCGTTTTTAGATTTATTACATTAGAAGGAACTTTGTTAGAAATAGATTAGGGTTCCGTAATATTTTTTTTGTACGATAGCACTTGCTCTTATATTTTTATACCTACTACAAGTTTTCCGATTAGTAGCAAAATGTTTTTTTTATATTTACAGCCACAATGATAAACAGAAATGCAATAACTAACAAAGGTTTTGATATATAAAAACAAAGAATATAGCGATTAAATTTTTACCATAAAACAAAAAATATAGTAAAATATATCAGAACCCCTCCACTCCCAATTCCATCCTAGTATTTATATCATGTTGATCTATTCTGGCTTATAAAGTATCCCTGATCTCTTTTTAGTTCATTTTATTAGATAACTTAATAAAATCTTCGTTGTTTAAACCATTTTTTTCAGTTAGTGAAAAAAATCAAAATAGTATACATTCATTTGACATGCATTTTGAAAAGTTTCATAAAAATTTGAACAGATTATTCTTTTTTTTATTCAACACTTTCTGGATAAGAAGTTCTTCGTAAGACCAAATCAATTGATGATTTTTTTTCCCTGTTACTATGAAAATCTTCTTTCAAGTTTTTTCATGAAGAAGAAATCTAGGGGAAGTTTCTAAAATATTATTCAGGTGATCTATGCAAAATACATAATATTCTCTTTGATGATACTCAATCTCAGAATTCTCTATTCATTTATGTCTTCATAACCAATTTTGAATAGAATGTAAGGCTGGATTTTCAATTTTTCTTTTATTTCGATAGAACGATATAAAATATAAAAAAACGCGCCAAACTGACGCCGATCGCCGTCCTTGTATGGAGTAACGGCGATGGATCAGCATATTCACAAAGCACTCATGTTAGTGTTGGTTCAAACCTCTCGGTCTGTTAGGATGCCTCGGCTACACACATTGCTGCGCTTCTACCTGGCACCTATCGTACAAAAACGGCTAGTCTTGCCGTGACCTCTGTTGGTGTTTTTTCACTCAAAATCCACGTGCATTTTTTTTGCTAGCAGGTCTGATACTGCATGCATATTGACTGTGTGGATTTGGGGAGAGCACTCATCTTGAGGTGGGCTTCCTACTTAGATGCTTTCAGCAGTTATCCACTCCGCACTTGGCTACCCAGCGTATACCGTTGGCACGATAACTGGTACACCAGCGGTGCGTCCCTCCCGGTCCTCTCGTACTAGGGAGAGGTCCTCTCAATGCTCTAACGCCTGCACCGGATATGGACCAAACTGTCTCACGACGTTCTGAACCCAGCTCACGTACCGCTTTAATGGGCGAACAGCCCAACCCTTGGCACGTACTACCGCGCCAGGTGGCGAAGAGCCGACATCGAGGTGCCAAACCTTCCCGTCGATGTGAACTCTTGGGGAAGATCAGCCTGTTCACTTTTTGTTATCACAAAAGCTGTTTATCTTTTGTTTCTCCAGGTTTCCCAGGAGGTCAGACTATGTCATCAACTTTTTCGTCGCGGAGTTTGTAATTTATGTCTCATTGATGGGATAATATATGGATCAATTAACTCCATCAAAGTTTCATAACTTTTTCCAGAAATTGCTAGACAATGATACTTTTTGTCGGGTTTTGTCCAACATTGAAGATGCCACTTTTCTCGCAATCCTTCACATAAAGAATCTATTTCTTGCTTGGAAAAAGCTTGTGTATGTAAGGTTGGAAACATAAATTTCATACGAATTCTTGGAAAAGTTGCTGGGCACTCGTGGAGAGATTATTGGTTAACACATCCGCACTCTCTAGTCGTTGAACGTTCTCGTTTACTTTTGTGATTTTACACATGTGTTTTCAACGAGCTTCGCTGCAAGTTAGCATAGCTTGTTTGTGAAGCCTTAGCCGTCCTTGCAATTCACCCAGTTTATTGCCTTCGTGTTACCACGAAGCGGGACAACAGAACTCATCCCTAGAGTAACTTTTATCCGTTGAGCGACGGCCCTTCCACTCGGAACCGTCGGATCACTAAGGCCGACTTTCGTCCCTGCTCGACGGGTGAGTCTCGCAGTCAAGCTCCCTTCTGCCTTTGCACTCGAAGGCTGATTTCCGTCCAGCCTGAGGAAACCTTTGCACGCCTCCGTTACCCTTTGGGAGGCCTACGCCCCATAGAAACTGTCTACCTGGGACTGTCCCCTAGCCTTCTTCTAGGCATAAGGTTAGAATCCTAGCCCTTCTAGGGTGGTCTCTCATCTTCGGCTCGAATGTCCCCAGAAGGACACCGTCTTCGCCTCCCACCTAGACTGCGCAAGAAGGGCCCAAACCCCATCCCAGGGAACAGTAAAGCTTCATAGGGTCTTTCTGTCCAGGTGCAGGTAGTCCGCATCTTCACAGACAAGTCTATTTCACCGAGCCTCTCTCCGAGACAGTGCCCAGATCGTTACGCCTTTCGTGCGGGTCGGAACTTACCCGACAAGGAATTTCGCTACCTTAGGACCGTTATAGTTACGGCCGCCGTTCACCGGGGCTTCGGTCGCCAGCTTTCCCGTACTCGAGTAACCGACTTCCTTAACCTTCCGGCACTGGGCAGGCGTCAGCCCCCATACGTCGTCTTTCGACTTTGCGGAGACCTGTGTTTTTGGTAAACAGTCGCCTGGGCCTGGTCACTGCGGCCCCCCATAGGGGGGCACCCCTTCTCCCGAAGTTACGGGGCCATCTTGCCGAGTTCCTTAGAGAGAGTTGTCTCGCGCCCCTAGGTATTCTCTACCTACCCACCTGTGTCGGTTTCGGGTACAGGTGCCCACTTGCCTTGCTTCTCTTGGCAAAAACCAGAAGGTTTGTGCCTGTATCGGCGTAAGAGCTTTTCTTGGGAGCGTGGCATCAGCTACTTCGGACCCGTAGGTGCCTAGTACTCAGGTTTTTGGCCCTTGAACCGATGACCATTGTTCGGCTAGCTTAGCCTCCTCCGTCCCTCTTATTGC